ATGCGATCCCGAACCTTTAATGGGCCGCGATTCGGCTCGCAGGACGATTAAAGCAATTACGCGCCGTATGAAACGTGTAATTAGCACTGCTTCGACTTCTTAAAAAGGTAACTTGGTTGGTCGCTTGAATCAGGAGGGAATGCTTATGATGAAACTAGTGATGAATGGAAAGGGTTTGTTGCTACCGTTCAGTGATTTTAATATTTTAGATCTTGCGCTACTGTATTAGGGATGTTAGATAGGTCTGGGTTAGAATTATTATTTAGAATTGAAGGTTTCAAACGAAGCAATTAACTATTTGAACAATGAAAAATCAATATTTTCTTTTTTTCTAGTATTTAAGAATCCAATAGATAATTCTCATTTTTATAAGAAAATTTTTTAATATTTTCAAAAATGCTCTGTAACAGATTTAAATAGTTATAGTGCTTGTCAAGGAGAGTTAAAGGAATTATTCCCCTTTCTAAGGGTGTTACGGAGAAAGAATATTTAAACAATGAAACGAAAATACGAATAAAAATAACGAAAAATATTTATGAAGATAATTGAAAAGGAAGTACTACCGGGATTGGCTACGTAAAACGTCAACATGTTCACTGCTAATGACACCATCGGGCAATTTCTCAGCGATTATAGAGTATATAAACGCCATTAATTCGGATTGACTTTTATGTTTCGTTCATTCGATCGGTAGTGCACATTTAACCGCGTCGGTACAGTACTCGTCGGTCGGCGTGTGCGTTTGATGGCTGTCAAGTGTAGCCGACGCGTCGCGACGCTCGAACGGAAAAGGTTAATGAATCATCAAATCCTATTTAATATGGTACATTAAAATTGTAAATTTTGTTTACACAGCGCATGAAGTATCGCCAATGATCTGACAGAAATTATATCCCACAACAAATTTAAATTGCTTCCTCAAGAAATATCGTGCTCAGAATACTATATATACGACGTGTTCCATAAATGTAGTCATAATTTCAACGATGGTTTATAGCTGAACAATGGATTAGTATAATTGCTATGGGCCGAGCGCGAATACTCTTCCCGGATAATGATACTATATTAGCGAATAAAGTTTCAGCGCTTGGCACTAGACCTTTTGTTCCCAAAACTAATGAACAAAAAAGAAAAAGAAATATTTCAATGTTTTCATTTGCAAATCCAATACATATACAATGTTCTAATTTACCTGCTGGCTTAGCAGATTAAACGACTAAAAAATAGAAATCTTTCTGTACAGTAAGACCTTAATTAACTGAGCCGTTATTTTACCTAAACTGTCTTGTCTAGGATAAATTGGAACCTTGGAGCTATTTAGACTCTTATATGACACCTCGAAATACATATGATCGAATTTTACGAATGCAACAAACTTCTCAAGCTTCCATTTCAAGCTATTTTATCCTATCGAATAATAGAGGTTCTACTATAGGTCGATGTTCCCATTCACAAATCCAAGCCTATATACACAACAAGCTCTAAATCATCTGCTTATGAGATTAAACGACCGAGAAAAAAGAGATATTTCGACATTTCCATTTGCAAGTCCAAGTATTTACTGCCTGTACCGAAGCATCTGCTTACTTAGAGGCCGAAAGTAGCTTACCGTGCGCGTATACGTTCAGCCTCTAATGCCTAGTTTTAGGATCATTAATTCGTATTATCTATAATAATAAACTGTCCCGTTCACTTCGGAACTATAAAGTACAGTTGACTACGTGGAGTCGTTGTGTTTCCGTTCTGCAGGACCAGCGCACGCGAGCGCGGAGGGAAAGTGTAATCGCTAAAAGCTTTCCTCCCTGCTGTCTCGGTTAGGACCCTGTTCTCCTGTAAATATTGTAAAAACAACGGAAAAGTGGTAACAAACAGCAGTTGACGGCACTTGACCGGCTTGTACGCTGGCTAGAAATACAGTCACTGGTCCCGATGAAACACGATACGCTTTCACGGCACTGTTTAACGGAGAATATGCATGTAAGCAAGCTAATTCGCCGTCCCGTAACTTTTGTTGATCGTCCCACGTGAAAAATCACTGGCATTTCGAGAATGTAGACATATCATGTAGGTATTGAACAGTTTCTCGAAGATTAATCAATTTACCAACAATCAATACACGAGGACCTTCTAATCGAATTTTCAATAGCAAGAGCAATTGTGAATCTGAATTTGCAATTTATATCGAGTAGTGTAATCTAGTTATTATATAGGACTATCGTTCAATGAAAGTTATAAGACTGCTTTGTAATGTAACATTATAACCAACTGGAAAGTCTATTAACGCTAGGTTTAAGGATCAATTCAACGCACATTGAATTTTATAAACCTTATCTGGAAAACGTTTACGTCTGTTTTGATTAACGCCGTTATATGTATCCTAACTGACTGTTTTGAATCCTCTAATTTCGAAGATATAATGAACGAACATTACTTTTTCTGGTAACAGTAAGAGAAACTGTACAATAGATAAACCTGCTGTTAAAATAGCTGTGGCGTAGATAAACCGTTGAGTTCTATTATTTTCCAATTAAGCGTACTGCACGAGTGACAGTACTTTCGAAGTAGTGAATATTTTATTCCATCTGTTCATGGGGATATTCGAGTTAATTGCAGATACAACTTTGCCAGCCACTTTGCAGGTTGCTTGTAATATTTAATTAAGACCGAAACTATATTAAACTTACTCTTCATCCACCACCTTCCTCCTACCTTTTTTTTTCCTTCTTGGCGTATTAAGCTCGAGGCCATTTAAATGTCCCGCGTTGTAATAGTTAAGTGAAAAAGTAAATGCAAGGGAGAAGCTCTGATCAAGCCCAATAAAAGTTTCTGCGTATTGCAAAATCATGAATGTTATAACGCGGTCGATGGTAGCTTAACCACAGGCGGTTCCACTGCAACGCCGGCGTACACCGACGGAGATTGCATGTGCAAGCAATTAATTGTACAATGTAAACATTGGAAATTCAATGTATCGGCGTACTCGGAATAATACGACTGTTTCTTTTAGTTTCGTTGTCCATTCGTATTCATTTCACTCTACGATAAATAACAGATCTTATAAATAATGACAGCTGCACGATGATTCGCCTTTTGAATTTCGAATGATAACTCAAGGAATTATCAGAAATTCAGCAATTTTTCGGAAGAACTTCATATTACTAGAAACATATTTTCTCATCCTTTCGTTTAATATTTTTCAGTATTTTCTGAAAATAAACTTTGTACACGTTATAAACACTATTTAAACACACTTAAACATTTCCAATATAATATAAAAATATATACTATCACTCGACAGAATCTATGCAATGTATATAAACAATTTTCCAACCCAAAATTCTTCTTTTGAACCAAACTCCCAAAAATCTTCCGAATTCGCGAGCAACAACGAAACTGATCACTATAACCACAACACAAAATCCTCGCTGGACAATGTAATCAGTTCTCGCGACCGGGCGAAAAGTGTAATCAGATCAACTCCAAGCAAAACGAGGATCACGCGGAAGATTACCGAACGCAAACACATCGTAACCGTCTCACCTCGTCTCCCGCTGCACCGAACACTATTACTTACGGTCCGATTTGATAAATGGACACGTTCCTCGGCGCGTTGCCTTTCCCCTGCCATCGGAAGGGTCGCGCCGGGGTTATTTAAGTTAAATACGTCAGCCGCAACGCAATTTTCGGCAATGCAAAGAGAACCCAGTCCGAAGTCATAAAGGGCCAGCCTTCGGCACGAGTAAAATTTTCATTTGACCGAGCTGTAAGTGCATGGAAACGTTCTCTCGTGTGTGCGTCTCACGGGGTGCATTAGTGTGCGCGCGTGCGCGTTACGTGTGTGTCGCTATCAGCCCTGCATATACGAGCAAGTTACACGTGTGCGCGCGTATCGCGTGGCTAACGGAGTGGGGCGTCATCGAGGATACTCTCGAATGGAGGGTAGAAACTGAAAAGGGAGAAGAGCGGAGGTTGGGGGTGGAGCCACCCACCATTCGAGTATTATTGCGGTGCTGGCTACGGGAGGGTGAGGACGGGATATATCAACGGTTGGCGTTTATGTGGCGACCAACTGTCGAGTTAATATTCACGCGATTCAGCTTGACCCTCCCGCCCTCCCTTCCCGGTCGCCTATCCCCTAACCAAGCCAGATCTCCGCCGGTTCCTCGACGACGTCGCGAATATCTCGACTTCGCCCGTCATCCCCTTTAGATTACCTCTTGCTTTTCCTTCGCAGCGCCTTATTTACTGGTCACCTTTATTGACACCGTTTTTTCGACCAGCCGGCGAGACAAGAAAGTCAAGATTGGCTTTATTGAGTGTTACGGATCTTGTGCTCGGTATGAAATTTGGATTCTGTGAGGTTAATGGTATTTTACCCCTTACCATATAATGACGAGTAAGACTCATGATGAAAATTTCTAGATTAATTTAACAAAAATCAATATCGTCTATTGCCTAATAGCTCAAAGCAAAAAACTATTTTGCTATTATCACTGTATTATTTTCAAATGAAATTTCCGCTTAAAGTAGAGTGGACAATTTTGTTGCATTTTTTTCAAATCGTCGATAATAAAATGTTACATGAGCTCAGTAGTGTAAGTAAATAATACGCGGAGGGGTTAATAGTAGGGGAGGAGTGTTTCAATGATCGTGGAGGTGTGTTTATAGGGTGGGACAACGAGGATTTATGGTTTCAGGAAGATCATTTCGTTTGGAGTTTCTTGGAAAGCTATGTAAAGTAAACAGCTTTTGAATTCTTTAGTATACAAGCTGCAGTTCCATGGTATCCTGAAGTCCTGATTTAAATATTATTGGACACGTTCGAGAACGGTGGTATAGAACTCGAAGAAATACATTGAATTAACATTTTATTACACTGTAAAATAACATTAATAAAATGGTATACACTTTCAACGTTGAAAATGTATAGTTTTATTAGCAAAATGGAACTAAGATCATCTGACAAGTGTATCTGACGGAGACCGTAATTTCTGTTACAGTACGCATGGCGTATGGCCTACTCTATGGCATGGCATCGCGGGACATTGTTCTTTGCTTCCTTTTCGCCGCTTTCCTTTCTTCGAGTTTCGGTAAGAGTCAAACGACATTTCCTTTTCACGGGGATCTCGAGTACTCTTCACCCGATTATGAAACGACGCGACGGGACAGGGCGGACGAGGGATTCAAGCTCCGCAGAGAGACGCGGCGAAGTTTCAATTGGCCGCAATACGAAGCAAAAGTTACAAGTTTTTAATCCCTACAAAATGATAGGAACGAATCTTCACCGTTGTATCCGTAATAGCATCTTGCTGTACTTTTTCCTCGGGACCCATCCCCTTCCCCCCGCCCTCCTTTTCGCGTCTCCGCGATTCTTTGCTCCACTTTTCGAGAAGAATCAAATAAAATGCTTCTAAAAGCACTATCGGAAGTCTTGGGCTTCCCGTAAAAGCATTCCCGTAAAGGAAACAACCTGGAAATTACATGTACACCTCGAAAATCGCGATTGTCCTTGCCTCGGATGAAATTAACAAATAAATTTCGACCAAGTCAATTGCCCGAAATTCATACAGGGTGATTCGATTGCACTTTCGCTCGACCTGCGCGATTCGTTTAATTTTTTATCAAATTGTTCGGTGTGTTTAATAAAAAGGGCTAGTAACGTGTTTCGGGGGAAAAATTAACCCTTTGAATTCTCGTCTTCGAAGGATTAATATTTCAACTACGTTTATTAGTTCATTGACCGATAAATCATCACGTTCTGTTCTAGTTCAATTAACAAGTATATCACACGTTCATAAACCAGTAATAGTTATTTCGTAGTTTGTGAACAACTGTAATTCATTCGTTCGTTCACGCCTTGCGCATCTGTCTTTAAGAGCAGCGCCGCAGTCGCGAGGCAAACAACCCCCGATAATCGAGTTTATCCAAGAATTCGTTTCCGCCGGTCGCTGAAAGACACATTGACGCGTCGAGAAAAAATTTCATGCACACTTCAAAGTTCGGGTTTATTAAATTTGAAATACAATAAAACCTACTTCCAAGCGCTCGTCCTTTGAGCAATATCCCGCCTCCCGGCGCGCAGGCGCGGAAAAGGAATAATTAAAAACAAGCGTAATTCAGCCCGCGCGATATTTCCAGCGACATTAATGTCATATATGGCAGGGAGGTGCATACACTGCGAAATGTAAATCTTATGACCGTGTGCGTTCGAATTGCTCTGTACGGAACGTCGATAAAAACGTTGCGACGACCAGTTTCAATTTATTTAGTACGGAGTCGTCGGACCGTGCGCCGGACGATTATTATGTAATAAGGCGCGGGGGAGAGCGCGTGTCAGTCCCGCTGACACGGTTAATAAACACCCCGAGTTACTCGGAACCCTCCTCTTTATCGCCCTCTTTCCTTCTCTCGCGATTCATTATATGTTTCCTTCTTTTCTGAAACCACCCCAACGTTCACGCGTGCCATGCGACGAAAAAACGCACATCGACGAGGAAACTAGCGAACCTCTCAGCGACCGAACGAGCGAGCGAGCGGCCAACGGAAAAAGAATTATTGCTACCATAACTTTGCCCCGCGCGCTACTACTGTTGCCGTGAATATATGCGCGGCCGATATGCATGACGAACTAGATGAAGCCAATCGGTAAAAGAGATGTAGAGATTAAGGGAAATCAATATCGGTACGCAGGGACGCGCGTTGGCCAACGGAGAAATAGAGGTAGAAAGGGAAATTGAAAGAGTGAAGGAGAGAGGGAGGAAGGTTTCCAGGAATGTAGATTCCGTATGTAGATATTTAGAGGGTGACATTTGTCCGGCGAGCGAGCCATGGAGGGCAAAGCTGAACCTGTTGTAGTCAGATATTCCTGTGATTAAATGAATTATCGGGAATCTGCCTTTTGAAGATGTCGTGTGGTGTTATTGCTTTTTAAACGATCTTTTTTAAACATTATTCAGATATATCGAAAGTATAGAGTCTATAGTTTCGATATCCTATATCAAAAATGTAGAGTATACGATGTCTACATTCTATATAAGACGTATAGAAGACAAAGAATTTACATAGTGCATTCACGCAGCATTTTAGAAAGCTCGAACAGTTTAGTTTTACAGTATTGTCACACTGCAACATTCAGTTTTACGCTTCGCACGTGGTTATCGCAGTGGTCCAGTGCACAATGTAAAGCAAGCTAATTAGATGTAAAGTTGCCGGGTCGTTAATTCTCCGATCGTTAATTATACTGGGCTAGGTCGAGCGATGCCTAGGTCGAACCTGGAGCCCGAATTTCTAGCACTCCTGGAGAACCATACGGTCATTCAAGGTCGTGACGTCTCCTTCACCTGCGTCGTTAATCATCTTCAATCTTACAAGGTAATTGCATCCATGCGTCGGTGTGTAATTAGTAAGTCGATTAAGGGCGTGCCCCTATCCGCGGCCTGCGGCCTAAATCGCGAACGATGGACATAAACCAATCGCGTCGCGTATCCCCTACAACTACGGTGAAGTCTGTGTTTACGGGTTTCAAGGTAAATGCATCGTCTTTTGAGTCACATTCAGTCATTTTTCTAAATGCGAATATATGTAAACTAAACGATGATTATTCGAAAAATTTGCTATACTATAAATAATACAACATAGAATATTTAGCAGTATTTCATTTAGCTACATTTATTTACATTTCTTGCATTTTACGTATTTTGTTTCGTGAAATCGTTCAGCGTCCAACGTGTTAAATAAGGCGCACGATGAACTTTAGTATCTTGCATTGTCCATCTACTATTTAAAAGATAATTTCCTTTGTTTACGTGTTACTGTATCAACGAATAGCAAATTAACATAAAAGATCAGACGAAGAAGGTGAAAACTGAGCATTGACAACATCAAGTCGCGAACGAATAGTACAATCTCAAAATGTATCTTCGGAACGCAGGCATCAGCTAAAAACAATAGTAAAATGGGATTATCCGATCAGGTAGTAAGCAAATCACGTTCACCGACGATACCAGAACGCTGTGCGCTGATAATGATGAAGTATTATACGTGCGTATGTCTGTGTGCACTTTCCATGATCCGCGGAGCCTTCTGCCCTGTCCAGAGCCCCTTGTGGGACAGAACTGCCGAGTAATTCACTTTCGAGAAGAAGTCCAAGTTTGATTGCCAGCCACCGAATCGACAATCGTTTCTATCGCGAGATGAAACGTTCTTGGCGCGTGTTCAGAAGATCTCGTCTTCGCGGATTCTTAGGATGGGATGGGAGAAGGTACAGCGGCGAAGGAAGAAGACGAAGAAGACGAAGAAGAAGAAGAAGAAGAAGGGGAGGAAGAACAGAAGGCAAAAGAAACGGAAAAAGCGATAGTACCGCGATAGTAAGCGAGACGCCGAATGTTACTTCCGTGATGGTAGTATCCAGTGCGAGAAGAAAAGACGCCACGAGAGAGGGGATATAAATCAGCGCTGCTAATATGGAGTACAACATGAATGGGCCTGATTTTTGCCGATCCAAGTAACCACTTTTTCCTTTCCTACAACAGTTCTTTCCTACGCGCAGCGAGCGTTTCTCTGTTCGCTTTTGAAATATGATTGTCAATCTTTCGGGATGTCTGTTAGCTTTCGAAGGTAGTGCTAGAAGTGTTAAGTTGATTTTGCTAATCACGTTTTGTATTTAGTCATTTTTCTGCATCAGAGGTTTTTCACTTATAAACGATTCGTAAGCGAAAATTGATTAAAGATTAAGTAGGTTGAAGATTTGAGAAATAAAGATACGTATGTTGTGCTTGTATGAACTCCTACGATTGTAAGTTTGCAGACTACCTGATACGCTTCTCAAATTAATCTTGTCAATATTTGGAAAACGGTGAGAAATGATAACGATTAAAAGTTTTCAATTGTTTGCAATGGAATACTTAAATTAAATAAAAGTCTGTGCTCCTTCTCACTTATAGCGATACTCGAACTTGTAGCGCGATCCTCCACTGTTTCTTCAGATTGAAGTTGTCCCGCCTCGTTGAGCCACTCCATCCCGCCCCGCATCACCCCCTACAGAGCCAACATACGATCTAACAAAAGTTTTATTGAAATCAGGAATTTTCGAGACTCTTCCTGTCGGCGACAGTGGTGCTTCGCACTTCAACATTTTTTCATTATAAATATTCGTCATTTTCTGACGAAATATCGATGACATATTTACCGACACAAAAAGAAGTCATACGTGCATTAAGAAACAAAGTCATTTTCTGTCGATATATCACGTATTAATAATACATTATACAAAATTCAAACCTACACGATCGAATTCCGCCGCAATGGCAATATCAAACTTTCACATCTAAAGTCGAAAGCTAAAGATGAACAACTTAATTATTCAAATGACGACAGATTCATATGTTATTTTCTCTGTATCTAGTATTCAAGACTGATATATAATTTAGGTTTTCAAGGAAATCAGTTTTAGACATTCAAACGTCAATGTTTTCAAATTTAGCTAAAAATATTTGCAACACGAACCTGTCAAATGACCGGTTTTAACATTTGAGTGAAAATTCTGCATTTCCTTTCCTTCAGTTCTTCAATTTTTGTCTTTCTGTTTGTTTCTATTTCCACTAAGGAAAATTTGTCATCGATCTCGTTTACCTTTATTTTGCAACCAGTTACTCGACTGGTTACGATAGGAATAAGTATACACAAAGTGCCCGTACGGTTAATGTTAATCTGACATTCCGAATCCGAATTCCTCGTCGAAGTGAACGAAGCAGTCGTTCCTCGCCGATTATTCGCTTACAAACAATTTCGCCCGCCAACAGGTAGAATCATTCCGTCAACTGATACGGGGACAGGGTGGTTGACTTGCAGTCTATCACCGTTATTTATGCACACCTTAAATTCTATTGGATCGAAACCCGCCCCCATACGCTCGCGTCATTCGAGGGCTTTTGTTCGCGAATTAAACGACCTTTCAACCGTTCAATGGGACCGTCGTTTGATATACGACAGATCGAGCACGCAGCAAGTATGCACGCGCAAACGAGAACCGATCGGTAGCTAACGTTGGCCCGGATTGCAATTTGATTCAGCCGGAATCCAATAACAGTGTTCACTGACTTGCGCCCATGACCCCGGCGCGTGTAAATAATTACGTTTCGGCCGAGTCATAGCAAAGTGAATTCTCAGATCCAGCGGTAATGAGGGAAATCGTGGTGCGTAGATATCCCGCAATGTGGATATCGGGTCGACCCTGTAAAATTAACAGCCCGAGGATGATTCAGAGATGATTCTAGACGCCTGACGAAATTAGCGTACAGCGCTAGGCTTATTGGTAGACGAATTAGTATATACTCATAATATTTACTAATTTACATTACGGTTAGTAGATATTTATTGCATTTACGAGCTGATATTAATACATTAATAACATGTCAATTGATATTCCTCTGCAGAACCGTGAAGAGAAAAAAATTGCATGCAAATTGAAGGGTGTAAGAAAACATTTTATTTTTTGTTTTCATAATTTTATAACATCACGAACGAGCTAAGAATTCTTGGGGACCTTTCTAATTATAAACTGTGAATTACAACAATAAGTATTAACATAAATCGAGCTAGTTAAAGGGTTCAAAATTTTATCCAAGAAGGATTATAAAATCTTATACACGAAGAAATGTTTGTACAGCTCGTACAATTTACGCGAAAATAGCGTTTAAAACATGAAACTTTTATTTCTTCCGCACACTCCCTCGCAAATGTGACGCCTGTGGAAAAACGGTTTCCAGATTCGTATGCGGCGCGCGAGAATCTACAAGAATCGCCGACCGGATGTTGGAATGCATAAGAAAAGTTCTAATTTGTTGGACAGTGAAATTAATGATGGTTGAAACAGCAGAGCCGAGCTGGTACACAAACATGCAGGCGCACGCAAGAAAGCTCGCACGTGCGCGTGCGGAAATTTTTTAATTAATTGTTATAATCTCCGCTTCGTAGGATTCGTCGTGTGCGTCGCAAGAAACGTGAATAATTATATGACGGGCTTCTAGTAGCACAAAGCTGTTGTCGTTCGGAAGTTGAACAGGGCGTAATTGAATGCAGGACGAATACGGAATCCGAAGACAAAAAAAATCCTTCCTACCCAGACGTCGGCGTGTGCGCGGAAACGTTGTTGTCTTTTTCCGGGGAAATAGAGAGAAGCAAGCTGGAAAGTAAAGTATGGGGGATTAAAATATGCTGTAATGCGAGCTCCTTCGCCTGTGTTTTGCCTTCTTTTCCTTATTATACGGTGTAACGTTTACATTACACGCTTTAACGGGCGTGTTTGCGTTGGAACTCATGAATACGGCAGGATAAAGGGAAATCACGACGGAAAATTTTACGCCGGTAACACGTTGCACTCGTATGTCACTCGAATATACAATTCGCGCACGCGTACGTGGATAATTCAGGTTCATCTAGCCGTACGTTCTCCGGCCGGAAGTGATCCGTTCAATGCCTAGAGTGGGTACCATACGTTCGTCCCGCGAATTAACCAAGTTATTTCTTAAAAGTCTTCGTGGCAGAAATATTGCTGAAAATACACGGAGTCAAGACCTGGATGCTGGCGGAAACCAGCTGAAGGAGATTCAAGTATCCGTCTTTATTGCATTACTTTTAGTATTTTAAAAATTTCGCCTTTCTTAATACCGGAAATTTCTTAGTATTCGTTTAGTCCTTAAAAGCTATAAAAATATGTTAATATTAACGTCTGTTATTACAGGTATTTAACCCTCAGATTATGTATAAACTTGAAATATTATTGTAAAAGTAGAAGCACATAATGTAGTAATTATTACTAGAAAATGATTTTCTTATGCTTTATAAGTTTGAGCGTACCTCTGACAAAATACCAAATCGATAACTAAATCGAAAAAGAGGAAGCAAACAAAATGCTACGGAGAAAATGAAAACGTGGGTGGGTCGGAAGAGACTCGCAGTAAAGTTGAAAAATTAGTTTCAATATTCAACGCGTTAGATTTTACAATAATATCGATGCAAAATTCCGCGCTGATACGGAAACTTCGCGATAGCCTCCGAAGGAAAGAAACTTTTCATCGAGCGATGTTCGCGGGAACCGTGGGATCCGGCAAAATGTAATAGGCGAGCGTATCGACGAGCGATTCCGATAACAAGTCACGCCAGACTTCACCGTATCAAATTATTAAGCGGAGGGAACGTGTCCCAGACAGGTGGGGAGAAGCGCCGTCCATAACTAATACCCGAAATCCTAATTCTGAAACCGTTATTATCGGCTGTCGGTGTAAGTAATACGGGCACGAGAGACCCGCGGTTTATAATCAGCTGCTGAAACGGCGAAACGTCCGCGCTCCCGGTTCTATTATACAGGTTGCCTGGATAAAGTCGGACTCCAAAGCTATCCTGGCCATTCAAACGCACATGGTCGCACACAACCCGCGGCTGTCTGTCACTCACAACGGACATAACACGTGGAAACTGCACGTGACCAACGTTCAACCGAACGACTCTGGCACGTACATGTGTCAAGTTAATACGGAGCCCATGAGGAGTCAGGTTAGTATAATATCCCCGTCAGATTAACTATACACTCCGTTACCATTAACGGCTAACGGAAACGCTGAAAAGTCCCTCAGTCTTTTCGCCGTCAATAGAACTTCCACGTGATTTAAGTCCGTTTTCATCGACTTCGCGTCGAATACTTGAAATTAACGGGACGATAGCGGCTGAACAGAAACGGAGACCGCGGATCCGCTGTATCGAGCAGAACTCACCTCTTGCACGAAAACTTACGCGTGGATTGTTGGCTTTCGGACTTTTGCGGTTTTGGTCATCGAGTTTGATCCTCAAAACTTTGAACCTTAGATGTTTAACATGTGGTCTTCCAATTTTTGGGAATGTGGGAGTATGGCTTGGAATTTCAATTTCTACAATTTTTGGTTGTGCTTGATTCTTTGAACAGTTGAATCTTTAAGCATTTTAATTTTTATATCTTTTAATCCTCGAATACTTGAATCTTTGAATCGTTGAATTTTTGAATTTTTAAATACCGAGGCATTCGAATTCACAAGCTGTTAAACTTTCGAGTCTTCATCGAAATTTCGCAACATTAAATTCTCAAAGTCATCGTTCAAGGGTAAATATTAAAACATCGAAACGCATTTGCAACCCCATCGGCAATATTTAATGCGTACTATCTCTCCACGGGCCGATTGGTTATAACGGCACTGTCAAAGCAACAAAATTATTACTATCGGAAGTATCAGAGATACCATCGTTTAATTGAATGTACAAAATTTTCCCCGGAAAGGTTGCTGAAAATAACGAGCGAGAAAAAGAGAGGGACCAAAAGAGATAGAGAATGAGGGAGGAGGACATTATTTCTTCTAACGTGTCCGGTTGTAGTTACAACTGCGCTGGGTCTGTATTTTTCCAGCGGTAAACCTAGATTAAAGGCAAGTCTCCGCTGAGCAGTCGCATTCGTTGAGTTTCGAATCCTAGGGTTAAGCTTGATTTAAATGTCCAAGGGAATACAGGGTTGGTCCGCGGTCGGATCTTTTCCGCCAGCGGTTAAATGGTACTATATGGTGGCTGGTAACGATCTTTTCCGCAGACGGGTCACATGAAGGTAGTGATACCGCCCGATATCATGGATTTGGACGACTCGACCGATCTCCTAACGGCCAAAGAGAACAGTGATCTGCGATTACGGTGTCGGGCCACTGGTACACCAAAACCTGTGGTCATCTGGCGGCGGGAGGACGGCCGAAATATCACCCTGCGGACCGAGCAAGGTGTTCAACGAGGTATTGACTAGGTTTCCCATCGTTAATAAACCAGTTACATATCACAGTTTCTGGTATAATCGTCTAGTCCATAATTTATTGTGAATACAATGTTTGTACATATAGGTTTCTAACTTTTACACTAAATAACATTATTCAACTTTAGAGTATGTGTATTAAACTTTTACAAAAATTGATATTATTTTTTATTAATTTTTACTTATTATAGCAAGAAAATGGTATCATTTAAAAATCAATCTTGATGCTGTTACGTAGACTTGTACTAAAATTAAATTTTTCAAAAATTGAGGGTGATAAACAGAAATTTATCTTTCATTCTAGAGTAAATCTTGCGAAACGCGAAAAGTTCCAATTCGTAACAATCAATTAATTCATCGATAACTTGGCCGACAAAGATTAATTGATACCGTTCTCTGTTAAACGAATCGCACATCAGAAGGATAGATTTATAGTTTGCCGAAGCCTTGATCAACGAGATTGCTGCTGAGCATCTCCGACTAATGCGCTGAGATAATCCATTCAGATAAGAACTGCTCGAGAGGAAAATTCCTTGCGGGCTGAGCGCCCCGAGTCTTCTTTTCTTAAAATCCTGATTTAACGTCGGCTAGTTTAGCTGGTGTTTCCGAGAGTACCATTTTTGGTGGTGTGATGAATCGCGCCCAACAGTCTGGAGGTATAGGCGAGAGCCGCGGTGCTCTGATTTGCGGTTGTTAGGCTTGATTATGTTTAACGACGATATAACGAAAAACACTAACGAGAAACCTTAGGCATTTGCGAAAAAATAATTCACAATTAACTCTTAATTTTCAGCTATTAGGTCTGATCATTTTTAACGAGGTCATAAGGAAAAGCACTAACGAAAGACGTTAAACATTTTCGAAAAAATAATTCTCAATTAATTTCCTATGATACAAACAATTTTATTAAAACAATTCCTTTAACTTTCCTACAAAGCAATTAGAGAGACAAATTCTCTTAGCACCCAAAAGCCACGATCTTTTTCGAATTTAACAATTTGATCGTACAAGAAAACATCTTATTTTCATGACTTTCTAACCAAGAACACTATCAAAACAAAATATGTATATTTCACGAAGTTATCTTCATTTTTTTTAGTAAGAATATGTTAATTTCAATAATATCCATGAACGTGCTTATCTGCCGAGACGCTTCAAAATGGTATCCAAAAAAATTGTAAGATACTAAGAGGGTTAAGCGTTTCCCGGGTTACATAGAGAGAGAAAGAGAGGAAAAGGATGAAGGGTAAGAGTGAATGAAGGGGGAGAGGGAGAGATGGCGGAGTAAGGGTCGTGACCCTGTTGGGTCCACCGCGTTCCGTTGGAAAATCAGCCACCCGATTAGCCTTTCTAACGGTGAGTGATGGATGTTGACTTTACATATATTTCCTCTCCGCCGACCCCATCGATTCGCGTACCCGATTGCAATATTCGGTGTGTACACTGTATTGCGAAAGTGTGTACCACTCGGTATCTATATCGCGCCAACGATCCCGCCGCGCCGCCCGATCTTCGACCGTGGAAACCGTATCGCGGGCGAGTGCTCTCTTTCTCCCTTCCAACCCTTCCGCGCTGCCAGTTGTTTCGGATCCTTTAATGAGCAGATCCATCCACGTCATTTCACCCGGCACGCGTTTACCCTCGGCCGAGACCGTAACCAAGATCGGAATATTAACCCTCGCGCTGCCAAGGGATTTTTTGAAAGCGAACTGCCCGAATCCACCGTGAAACGAAGCTTTATCGCTAGAAACACATGTAACGACGTTTGAGGGATCAATCGCTGTGAAAAATCTTCACTTTGTACTTTCTGTTTCGTTAGAAAGATTGCGTCGATTGTACAAATAAACGTCAATGCGTTAAATAATCGAATTACATGTTCCCAGAATTTTATTCAGATCGATTGAAAAGTTGACTGGTTCGAAAACGAGATTGACTGGTTGAAAATATATAGAAAATATGATATAAGGGGCAGAAGGAATTCTACTTGGCAATGTGAGGGATGAAACGAAAAACGTTTAAACCGATTCTATACGGCTGAATCGTTTCAGAGACTGTTTGGTGGATGACGATCGCGTTGCAGACGATAATTCTGCAGAAGTGAACACGAAATAACGGGACAAACACGGTAGGATCAAGTTCGACTGAAATCAGGAACGGCTCTTCCTCGTCGTGAAATGCGTTCAACGGTGCACTTCGACCGCGAACAGCGAGCTATAATTAAATCGCAGACTTTTATACAAACATAAAGTTCCACGGTTCAATTTGCAGTGGCTGGAACTGAAAGAAAAATTGTTTACCGCTCCGAGGGTTCGAGCATCCGCTTCGAAATAAAATCGAGCTCATCGGAGTTTGTTGAACTTTGTTGTCAGACGGAGTTCCAAGTTTTTGTTTTTAAAGTATGCTGATAACTTTAATCCGAGTAAGTTTATCGTTTAATAATTTCGTTATACTTGACGAGAATTGTAAAAATGCTTGAATATTTCACGATATTAGAGTAATGATATTTGATTCTCTGGGAAAATTATCTCAAATATTATCCTTAGACCGAGTACTAGATATTCGCTTTGAGTCTTTATTAGAATAACATTACTCGTCGGTCTGAATGCTCCACTGTTAAAATAATAATGCGCTTCCGCTGGCTTTTACACCGTATCTTTGAATGTTTAATTGGTTAATTGAGTGATACAGAAAACCCTCATCCCGAAACCGAACTCTCCCTCTCGATTTCGATAAAAAATAATCACATTAATCCTGTTATTGTAAACCCTAGACTCCAGAGCGCCTAACGCAAACAGCGACCCAGTCCGAAGCGCCACGGAGTTCAAACAAACCGGTTGTGAATATCCGTTCGGCGTATCGCGTAAACAATAACAGAAATAATTTCACTAGACACATCTTTCATACAGTGAAAACGTACGAGGGTGAGCAGCTTCATCTGGCGGGCATTCTACGGCAGGAAATGGGCTCGTACCTTTGCATCGCGTCGAACGGGTTCCCGCCGACGGTCAGCAAACGTTATTCCGTCAACGTTCGTTGTAAGTGCGGCTTGCTTTCCGCGTCGCGGCGCTCCTTCCGTGGAAACTTACATGATTAATTATAGTTTTCTCGGTCCGCAGTTAAACCACTGATTAAAGTCTCCAACCAATTAGTAGCGGCACCTGCTAACAGCGACGTCGTTCTTCATTGCTACGTCGAGTCCTCGCCGAAAGCTCTGAATACGTGGAGCAGGAACGACGGTAAGGATCGCGAACAATATCGAATGGCGGCGGGAGCGCTGTTTCTCAATGTCGTCGGACGCGTTCCGGTGTAATCGTTGAGAGTTCCCATCCACCCCCACACCCGCTATTCTCTAGCAAACTCCGTTTTCCACTATTGTACTACACTATCGTGCAATCACTGCGGGGTGGGAGTTTGTTACTCGACGTTAACGATACACAACGCGGATGTTCCAGGTATAAAGTTATTGCCGGACGAGAAATACGATCTATCGGAGGTCCCGCTGAACGATTACGCATATCAATTAAACCTGACTATCAAGCGACTGAACAGGGACGATTTCGGCAGCTACACCTGCTCAGCGGAGAATTTACTTGGGAATGCCAAAGGCACGATAGGGCTGCAAGGTAACGTGGATTACGAATTGTTGGCGGGATTCGCTGGTTTTGGAAAGTAGCTGTCGATGATTTGTATTGGATAGTTTTATTATAGTAGGATTCTGGTTGATGCTACCTCGGTTAACGCTGAATTGATTTAACGCGGTTTTTTGGAATTTTTGGAATTTTGGATGAACTTTAAGTGTTCCATGACTCGATATAACGAGGTTCTTGTTATCAAAACTCGACTGTTAATTTGATGTAAAAGTAACTTAAAATTAAAGTAATTTTTTTATTTGAAATTAAAGTAACTTCTTTATTATCAGTTGCATGTTTCCTTACTTCTGTTTACTGTGTTTTAAGATAACTTCATTTAACGCTTTGACTGTGCTTTCTTTATAAATAATGATAAAATTGTTGTTACATGTTGAAATAAGAGAGAGGTGAGAATATACGTAAAGGATTATGTCGATCTGTATAATATTCTCTCCTATAAATTGTGATTGTAAGTTCTGTAAGGTGTGTTAAATAAAATTATATAATGAACATCGATGCAATATTGCCAGAAATGTATTATCCACACGCTTTAACGTTTAGGCCAAGTTAATTTCATTCAACAGTAAATCACCGATTTTAATCACATTTCTGTTATGAAAATGTAAAGAGATTAATTCTGCAGTATACGCATCATAATTTCATTATAGCTCAATGTTGATCCTTAATTCGATCTCAACTGCCATTTTATTTAACGACCAGAGCATTAATACACTATGTAATGAGACACATTCGAAACTCAACTAAAAGATACCCAAAAGTTAAATTATTGATTAAACGGCTCAATGGAGATATGGTATAAGTGGGAATCTTCCATCGGTCCAGTATGATAGAATCTTTAATTTGAAAAACTGAAAGTAAGATTAAACTTTAATAGAAAAATTTGTATGTCAACATTAAAACGCGTTGCTGTATGTATTCGTAAAAGTTCAGGTTTGTAGCAATTTTCATAATTTATGTGAACTCTGATTATCTGTGACTAAAGAGTACACTAAACAATTCCATAAAGTATAACGAGTTCCTTTTCTGAACAGCTCCACGAAAATTTATATTTGCATAAAGTCTGGAATCTCGCAATATACAGGGTTAGATAACAACGGAAATATGTTAAACTTCAATTCTAGCTGTTTCACCTATATAATAATATCAAAATAAAATAATAAAAAAACCACCTTAGAAACTATCAATCTTCAAATTCACGATTATCTTCTTGGATTAATGAATTTTCCTTTCCAGTGTTTTATTCGGAAACTTGAAACTACAAAATTGCATAGAATGCACACGATACAAGAAAATATATAAAATATCCAAACTGTAGTTCTTTTTCACTTTCTATCTTCACTATATGTTTCTAGCTGCATCTAACAGTAAGCTTCCGGAACAATTTGATGAATATTGAATTTCACAAACTCGGTAAATATTTACACCGAACATGTATCCCGATTGTTCACTTTCAAACCTCCAATTTCCAAGTTCTAAATAAACATCAATATTACCAAGAACAACACAATAAACACTACAATAAATCTCCATAAACCTAGCATTAAAAATATTTGAATTCGTATAATGATCCGCAATTCGAACATCATTTTCAATAAATAGAGGTCTTATGCATTTAACAATTCCCGTATTCACTCTCTCCTCCTGAGAAAGACCACCCCACTGTCCACACTTCTTTCTCAACGAGTCCCTTCTTTCCCGCGTCTTCTCTTTACCGGGTGTTCATTAACGTTTCTATTATCTCAGAATTGCATCCGCCGAGGACGACGTTATCGCCGATCCGGCACACGGAGTACACGGACAGGTACGGGTCAAAGAAGCAGACCGACAGGAGGGGTAAATTGCACTCATTCGGCCGGGACGGCATGCTGTCGAAAAACGGCGGTAATATGGGTCACTCGACACCAATGCTGAGGAGGAACAATTCGAACGCTTTGACGGACCAGGGTGCCGTGAAAAAGTCGAAAGTCTCGGTGTACCCAGCACCCGCTCCCGCCCCCGCGCCGGCCCATTTCCCGCCAACACAATTAAATACTCAGAACAGCGTGACGTCGTCGCGGCATTGTCGATTAAATTACTTAGAATTAATATTCGCTTTCATAGTGATCGTCGTTTGTAGCTCATAAAGCCGATTGTCTCGAGTGTGTTGATTTGGCGCGTGCGAAATTGCCGGCTAATTAACGCTTATTATATTTATAGAAAGGGGATGATTTAATATACTGCGCGATACATCCAAAGCGAATTCGTTTGCGCGGCAATATTAAAGCATATTGTTGGATAGAAAGTAGTGGGTCACGGTTGCATCTATAACTCCACGCCGGGAGTCGAGCCGTTGCGTTGCTTTGAAACTTCGACTCGCGGCGCTATTGGCTTATGCTTCTGAACTTGTTATTTTTGTCGAGCGGAGACATTGATATAAATCAGATTTCGTAATGTTGTTTTAATGTTGCAGATGATTCTGCGAACATTTTTTATGGTTGTGCGAATGAAAGAGCGTTTAACGGCTTTTGTAGACTGAGAGTATAGAATTTTTTTGGAAGAACTGGTATTTCATTTGAAGTTCTGACTGCTTTTCGAAGTTGCTGTCGGTATAAATCAGCATCGATCGTTGAATTTTATGTACCGCGATGGATGTTTTGTAGAGTCGTTGAAACAACAGTAACGAGGAAAGACAGTATTATAGGTGTTGCCTATTATAGTTCTTAATTTAAGCCGATTATCCTAGCACTGTGGACCATTGTTTAACAGACTAATTCGGAAATGGATTAATTGGCTTTCAAGTTTCTAGTTTAAATCCAATATTTATGAGATTACTAGGAAAGTCGATTATCATGACGGTTGTTGTTACATTTTGAAATGATTTACAATAAGAGAAGAAGATTGGAAGTTATATTTCTTTGTGTCTTCTTGGATGAAGCGGCGGTTTCACGCGCGCCAAACCAATACCGAAAAGTACAAATTACATTGTAGTAGAATGAAAATACGTGAAAACGATCTATTGCGTCCTAGGCTTCCGGTTATACGTTAAGTTCACACTACTTTCGATACACGTATCGGATTAAGTTGTTGCGTTCTAATCTGAATTCGCGACGTTCATCGCGTTAAGGTGGTCTTCTGGTTTGGATGGTGTAAATATTATTCAAATGCACGTGACATTCAAAAGAGTCAAATGATTCGGTAAGTTTAATTCGTCGGGTTCTATTGTTGCGCTTATCGATAATCGTTTTTTATTATTTACACTCTTAAAACTAATTACTGAGAAACTGAAAATATGAAAAATCTTTACATAGAAAACTTTGAAAATTTGAAATTTTTCACGTTGTTCTTGAAAGATTCGAAAACAAAACGATTAAGAAACATCGAGAAATCAGAAGACCTTCTTAAGTTGAAACAGGGAGACAACTTTTGGACTATTGGTGTTGCATCATTAAACATACGTGATATCGATGGTATATCATTCTATGGTGTAAATAAAACGAACGGTTTTTAAGACAATAACTGTAGTTGTATACGACAAGCCGGTAGCGTAATTATTATATAAATATACACCCGGAAACAGTAACGGATCGTGCGAAACGCAAAAACGATTTTTATTGGTTCTGTTTGAAATTTCCGATTATCCGTTATTACCAATCATAATCAGACTGCCGACATTTATGAATATTTGTATTTTTATAGACTCGGTTTTGAGAAATGGGAATTTAAAGAGGCATTCGTTTCCTGCCTGTCAAAGCGTTCATTGCTGTGGTAGCCACCGATGACCGACGTTACAAAATCAATAAAAAAAATTGATTTTTTAAATACTTTGAAACAGTTATACCTATTAAGTTAGTTTCAATTTCTTTCATCTAACTTTATCGTCTGAAATATCTTTGTTCAACACGTTAAAGTGGTTACTGTGTACAAATAATTTCCCCCCTGTAACGTCGCGCTTCGATGACTCCTGCGATATCCCATTTTAATCCTTACACAATAATTAAATATACTGCCACGATCACACATGTAAGTTGATTTTATTCTTACGACGATGAAATTTATTGTCACAAGCATTTCATTACCATGTCTTACTGGATTGAAAAGGAAACAAATAATTCAATGCATTTTAGTTAAATTCTCATTATATTACTTTTGCATTTTTGTATATATACCATGGACACAACAAAATCGTAGTCTTGTTATAATATTTTTCAATGAGATAATATTAACTCTACATAATTTAAGGCGCGTATAAAGTGGCAGTCGAAAGAAAGTTAATTTTCTAATTGGATCCAAACTATTCTAAACATATTTGTATCTGATTTATCCATAAAGAACATACATATAAATAGCTGTCTTTGTAAAAACGTATTTAATTATACAATTTTTTTCTATCACAATTATATTTAATATTGTAATTCGAGACACATAATGACTGAAAGACTCTGTTTGCGAATTTATTAAGACTGACTTCTAAAATAATAAGACTGGTTGAAGAAGGTTCTCGGTTTTCTCTTTTCCAAATTTCGAAACGTAAATACCGAAAGTAAAAACCATGAATATTAAACTTCCTTTTGGCCGCCACCGTACCTAGAAACGTTCGAAACTAACCGATAAAATTGACTCATTTCCTTCACTGTCTCGAACAAATTGCTAGGCATCAATGTGATCCAGTCAAACGAAGACCCGTATTGCGTACCAGATGATCGGGTGTACGCAAAACGTTCTTCGATTGAGCACGTAAATGTATCGTTTATCGATGTTAAAACCACCTGAGTTGTGTATTCGTGTATATATGTACGACAATAAACGTTGTTTTTACCATGTCATGAATATTACTAATTCCATTCTGATTATCCCCTGCAGCATTTCACTCGTTACAGCATGTTCGCGTTTGAGCACCGACAGACCATTTATTATTCATAGTTTATATGTAATTCATTTGTAAGTTATTCGTCGTTTATTGCTGCATTATCTGACATTCCTTTATAGTTCATCGATATACATGGAAACAGAAAGGTCTCAATCTAAGCTTGATACATCCTTCCAAACGTTATTCATATTTCATTTCAGAAATTAAACGTTTAATTTTCCTATGAATAAAGTATAAATTACTATTGCTATTAACTTTAGTTGTTCATAGGGACCAAAATTTATTAATACGAGTAATTCAATAAAAAATAGATATTCAAAAGTTACGGTACAAAGAATTGTCCATTGCGGCGCAGTTACTTTTTATAGAACAAAAATTTCGCCATTGGATCAATCGTCGGCGCGTTTGAATATAAATCCAGCTGTCCTTAAAATATACAATTGATTCCGAATAGCTCTCGCCGATACTGCGTGTAGAAATTTAGGGAAGAAAACGGGACTGAACTCGTCTGGATTAGAAGTATTGATGACGGTCTAGGCCGGGTCCTCATGTGCCGCGAATAAATCTTCGTCGGCGGGAACGGATACAGAGAGTCGGATTTTCTTCCATTTTCTTTCGTTAGATTCGTGTACGCGGCGTTTTGAAAACCATTCAAAATCAAGGGTGCATTCTCCGTTCTTCTTGATCCGAGAATTACTCACAATCGTATCAATTAAACTTCATTTTAAATTTCCAATTTTACATCACTGTACTAAATATACTTCAATGCAATTCTCGTGATCACGTCAATTAAACCTCGTTTGAAATTTTCAATTTTACAACATTGCACTAATAAAAATACTCATTAGTGCAGTCCTTACAATCATATGAATTAAGCTTCGTTTTAAATTTTCACTTTCACATCGTCGCCTTGATAAATACTTATCAACGAAATTCTCACGATCGTGATATACAAAACGTCATCATAGCCCGGATGCACAGGAAAAATTTTACAAAGTTTCGAGTTTACGCAAACAGAGAAATATTCTAGAGTATATCCCCAACGCGTGCTGAGAAATGGAACTAATAATGAATACATGGAGGAAGGGACAAAGAAAAAACTTACGATACACGTCGGTGAGTTCTTTTAATTCCGCAGCGCGAACTAATTCCCTTATCGGTTGCGGAAATCGTACCGCGGCGCAGACGATACGCCCGCCCACGCGATTCAGTTGCTCATCGAGCTTGGGGTATCAAGAGCGTTCAGTTAATTAAACACTCGCGTCCGCGGCTGGCTTTTGTCTTTCTGGTGAATCATGGGCCGCGCGTTATTATTTATTGTTCTCGGTTTACTGGCGAATGCGGTAACCGTTCGGTGCATCTGCAGGACCACCGTAACCAAGCGCAGCGGATCAATAATCTTGCGATGCATCGAGCTGAGAGATCTATCGAGATTGGAGAGGGCGAACAGCAAGGCGACAACCATCGAAATCACCGACTCTAATATAACGAATCTCCCAGGGTAAAAGACCGAAATCATGGTAGCATGTTCACGGCCACGGATACCTTTATGCAAATTCACGTCGTCGGGAGCAGCGTTTTAAGAATTTATGTCGCGGAGAAATTTAAATTAGTTTGCATTAAACGAAATTGTTGAATTACGCCGTTATTGCGGCAAATGAGCCATAATCTTCTTTGTTCTGGGATTTACGAAACTGAAAAAGTTCACCTGTCGTGTTATTACAATTACTTAGTTTTGTAAGTACGCAGGAAATTCGATTTCGGGGATTCATTTTACATTTTTGTTTCATAATTAAAAGTTCGAAACCGATATATTAGGTAGGTGAACAGGTAATTGGAACCATAAGGAGACTTTGGTATCCAGGATGAAGTTATTATAATGAAACAGGAAGAAAATGTATGAAAAGTTTGTAGTAGAAGTAATGTGCATCGCGTAGAATGTTTAACGAGTGTAAAATCGAGGAATGGTGGCAATAAAAATTCGTAGTGATAAAACATTGCACGATATATAATTTTGTTTCTTAATTCATGTTTAAAACGACAAAACGAAACAAAAATTCCAGTGAACATTTCTATGCGAAAGGAAATATAAATTACTATGAATATCACAATCAATGATTATAGAAGTTTTATATACTGGCTTGTTTACAGGCATCAGTTTGCAAAATTCGGCGCGACGCTGGTCACTCTGGACCTCCACGGATCGAAAATAGAGACGGTCGATCCTAACGCGTTCATAGCTCTGACGAAATTGGAGAATCTTTATTTGTGGGGCAACAACTTGAAGATGGTGATTAACGACTGGTTCCAAGACACGCAGAACCTGAGAACCCTGGATGTGTCGTTCAACAACATCGAAGTAATCGACTACGCAGTGTTCCAGCGGCTCCCTAACCTGGAAAAGTTCTACTTCGATTACAACCAAATTAAATTCATCGACTACACGATGTTTGGCTATCTGAAAAACCTTAAAAACGTCAAGTTCGAGAAGAATCCGCTGAAGTGGGGGTGAGTGCGCGCAACTTCTTTCTCCAATAACGTTGAACGAATCGCGGGAACGCAGCGTGGTAGGTTGGGAAGGAGGACAGGGGAAAGAGGTGAGTGGACGTTTCTCCTATTCTGAAAAGACTTTTATCGACTCCCGGCGTGCGACGAATGCAGCGCATTGCAATATTCATCAGGTACAACGAGGTCCTGATTAGCACTCGAGGTGGCCAGGAATTTATACTTAACGAGGGGTGATGTTTTAACCCCTACTAACCTAGTATTTTTGTTTTAATTGATCAACAGTACACTTCTGGGTTCCGTTGTTTATGCGTTTAAAGTCTAAACTTTAGACCCACTCATTCTTAAATTTACGACTTTCACTCCAATCTAAACTAAGCTTTCCCTCTAACTAGAAATCCTACATTAATTTCAAAAAGAAAATTCAATTGTGAATGTTGGATAAGCAAAAAATAATATCAAAAAACAGGAAATTAATTCATACATATTTTAATGTTGTAATTATTTTTTATTGGTTTGCTTGGAAGTGAAACTGCTGGTTGGAGTGATAAGGGTTAATCAAATAAAGTCCGTTCCAATGATGAAATAAGTATTTTTGGTAATTCAGGTACCGAGCTCAGTTAATGTGGCAATTGGACAATCAGCACGTGAAGTACAGCGAAGTGTGGGAAGACTGGGCGTGGATGAACGCTATGATCAAAGAATGCACGGAAAGCGGGTACGGGGAAATACCGCACGACACGGTCCTCGACTGCGTGGCTGTGAAATTGATCGACTTCGCGCACGAAATACTCGCTCCGGAAAGGAAACGAAAGGATGAATGTGACGACAAAGCGAGAAAAATGATGCTCTGTATGAAGGCTGAAAATGTTACCGGTAACAACGACGATGAGATTATGAGAAGGACTCTTGAAGGTTACATCGCTATGTTACACCCATTGATAAAACCCCAAGGACGATTTAGTATTGTCTAAGATGACTCTCCAAGCATGTAATAAATAAATATAAATACAAAACAGCAGGTCCTGTTGACTATATTTTTATAAATGGAAATAATAGTAATGGTAAATGTTATTATTAAATAATCTGAATAATTTGAATAAAATACATATCATAACGATTATGTGGCATTACTAATAAATACTTTGGTAGATACACTTTTCAGTTGGAGTGAAATAAACGTACTTTTTCGATAAGAAAATTAGTAAGTATGCAAATAGTAACTGATCATTAAATCGCCGGAGATGGTGTAATTAATATTACAGTAATATCGATTGCAAATTGTCTAAAAGAAGAAGAAAGTTAAGACAGGATACTAAAAATTATTTATAATTCGATCTAATATGTCTAAATCCATTTAAAATATAAATTGAATCTAATAGTAAACTGAGTTCATTTTGACTTCCTTTAACTTTAATCTTCTAATTAAAATTTATTGACGTTTATTTAACGTTTTGATAAAAAGAATTTTTTAATCAGAGGATTATTCAATAAGGACAAATTATTTATTCAATAATATTCTTTTAGACTTTCTGATATTATCAAATATTATAAATAATTTGGTTATATGTACAACAATTTAATGTTCCCTATATTTTATGTACCAAAAACTAGGTAATTACGTAAATTTAATAGAATATTCAGAAGTTAGTTACAAGAAGAAATCTGCGAATAATATAACTTAATTCGTTGTGTAAATTAACCCCAACAACAGTTTTTAATCAATTTGAATTGTTTGAATAATAATTGTTCATAGTTTAAAAATTGTTCCTTTCAACGAAACCGCTCATTTGTGTTTGTAAAGAAATATGTTAATTTCTCTACATTTAAATGATAATAAAGGATAATAAAGGATAGTTAAGGATGTTAAATTTTTGTAAAGAAGATTTTGAGAAATAATGCCTCTTTGTTACAATGGTAAGATAAAAATATTTCTAGATAAAACTTAATTGTAATAAAACATTATTACAACTAGCCCGCAAATGTCGATCAGTTGTCACAATATGCAGACTCGAAGGTCCGCCATTGCAAATACAAATTCATTACTCGGAAACAATTGGATTTCTAAAGAAACTGCTAGCCGAATTACTACAAGGAAAGCATCGAAATTGGAAGCCGGAGAAAATGAGGCTTTGGATTCGAGGTTTTTATTTGGAGAATAACTGTACCCTCTCCGATTACAATTTAACTTCCGAAGATCGAATAATGTTACTTCTCGACGGTCATGGTTCGTTCTAATTATTAAAAGAAATCTTATCCATCTATCTATACAAGAATTTATATATGGCTGTTCGAAGGTATATATTATCAGCGACTTTTCATTTTTCTACTCTTTTTGGGAAGTGTTATAGTTCCCTTTTTTAAGCTTCTAAAATGAAGTTGATATCTTGATTTTGAAAGTTAGAACACTGAAGTTTAAAATAGGTTATGTATTTTTGTAACATATGTAACTTTTCGAATTTTTAATTCATATTTTTAATAACCTGTTTTAAAAATAATTATACTATGTTTATTAAATAATAAAAATAAACAATATCTTTTTATGTATTCTCGTTTATTACAATCTCATAATAAATTAAAATCTTATAAAATAATCATAAAAGAAACTAAACTTAACACATTTGCGTACTTTAAACTCAACTGTGCTTAGGAAAATAAAAAAACAATGATTCTTTAGACTTAACAACAAAAATAATTAAAAACGAATATGATGAATGAACGTAGATTTTGATTATTATTGAGTATCTTTTTAATATCCAGTTTATAATGTATAGTTAAAAGTATAGAAACATTGTTTTATCATACTAAAATTGATAATTAAATATTGATAGTTAAATATATTTGCGTATTGTATTGTATATCGCTTAACGTAGAGAACCTGCGATTGCCAGATTTTCTAAAACGCTTTTTTGAATTTCAAATAAAATTCATTCTTTCCAAACTTACAGTTTAATAGCAAACGTTATGATTTTCTTTTGTAAATATCACAATTAAAAGTTTATTTCATGAAGCATAACGAAAACGGAATGATATTTCGTATTATTTCGTACAATTTGTAAAAATGTGCTTCTATATTTAAATCGCTAAATATTATTTTTATTAAAATTCAATGCGATTTTTAAAATTTTCAATTAAATTAGATTTGACAATGCAGTAAAATGTGTCGAGTTTTTCTCATTATCTATCATCATGCGTTTGGATCTCTACGTTACATAAATATTATCAATGATCTTTGGTTGATTAGCTGTGAAATAGGTCACTAATTTAACTGTAATTGATGCGATTATTCCAGCAGTGTGGTGAATCATCCACAGGATTAATGCCTAATTTTTGTTCTAAACGATACTGCTCACTGTACTGTAACGCTGTTCAGAAACATAAAAAAGACGTTTACATATAAAATGTATTTACCACTGTTTACATTTTCTAAATTATTATATATCTCAAATTATTATATTGGGTTTTATGTTAATATTAAATAAATCGTTCTGAAGAGGACACACTAATCGAATGGACATGGATAACTGATACCATTGAGTGACTTATTCCCTCTACACAATCCAACATAATCCCCAATATTCCATTCGGTCAATAAATTGCAAACGAAATTTTGATGAAATGGAGTGCCCAGTTTACTCTTAAGTTTGCTCACGTACGAAAGAAATAATTAATTGAATATCACTGATATAATGTCAACTACTTTGTTGTTAATAATACTAAATTGAATCATAAACAAAATTTAAACGCAGCGGTTGTAAACTATATTAAATCCTTAATAAAATAAAAAGAAATACAAAATTGTATATCACAAAATCCAACGTAATAACGGAAGTCAGTATTATTCTTAAAAAAAAAAAATTTTGAAGTAACTTAAAAAAACACTCTAGAAGTTTAATTACTTCAAAATTAAAATCTATGCCTGAAAAAGAATAGAAATAAAAGAGAGAACGTTTTATTAATGGAAGAGGAAAAAGTTTGTGTTGTGTGCACGGGTTGTCTTAAGCGCGTCAAAACAAACCAAGTATCAAATTACATGCCTAAGCGTCCATGCCAACTCGTACTGGAAGGTTCCTCGGGACAGTATGTATTTCGTAGAAGAAAGCTAAATCGTGAAGCTTATTGACTTGGTGATATCAGAAACTACATAAATCACGTGTCAATAATTTTTTAGAAGTAGAGAAGAACAAATATTTAAATTATTTAAACTTGAAATTTTTTAAAATTATTTAAATGTACGAAATGTGATTTTTCTTAACGTGGAATAAAAATTCGACTTACATTGTTTCTGATTTTACTGACTCAATTCATTTTATGATTTCGCTTACCGCTATTTCGGAATGTAGTAGTGATGACATTATACATCTTCGTACAAGCATCAATGACTGCCTTTTCTTTTGTAGGCATTGGATCTCCATGATATTCGAAGAGAAATTGCGAATCTTTGGAAATGGTAATCTAAGGAAATGCAAGAAATAAAAAATGTTCCACCAAAATGATGATGGAAGTACTATGGATTTATTGAAGAAAAAAAATATTTGTGAACGCTTACTTTGCATATAAAAGTCGGTGAGTTTCCTACTTGCAGAGAATTGAAAAGGCAAGATGCATTGAACTTCTCTTTAATAAAATTTTGCAAAGCGAACATGTGCACCGATAAAACGTCGGTAACCTCATTATCGTTGTAATCAACATTAGGTTTCAAATTATGCTTCTTCGTTGAAGCTGCTTTCTTATCACTCTGATCGCATTTTTGCGAATTTCCGTTTGTTATTGCCTCGTTGATACGCCGTTGCCTTTCCAAAACTTTCGAAGCTCCGATCGGTTTCGCCCAAGTAATCTCCCAGCCTTCAGACTGAGCGATGCCATTTTCCTCTAATTTTCATATAAGCATCAATTTTGTAAAGAGTTTGAATTAATGTAAATTTAATTAAAATATTAAATAATTGACACCCACCCGTCATTATATCCATCACGGTTTGGGCGGCTCTACGGTTTTCATAATGGATGAACGCAAAGTGATTAATTTTTTTTAGCTTCAGTACAGCAATTTTCGTGGCCTTCTGAAATATTTCTCGAATTTTCTGTTGCGATAGATCTAAAGGCAAGTTTCGCACGAAAAGGGCAGTAACCTAAGTGAGAATAATTATAAGCATCAATGCATTATTGATGTGCATTAAAACTTTCGTATAATTTAATGAATTTTTGTTTCAAAAAACAATAGCGATAAAGATTTTCCGTGCAACGCTTATATGAAGTATACGTCCTTCTTTTTTTACTTTTGTTTTATTAGTATCGGAAAAAATGGTAAAATGCAATATTAATCCCTTGCCGTACAATGACGAGTGAGACTCGTGATGAAGATTTACAAACTAATTTAACAAAACTCAATGTTATTCATTCCCCACGGATCAAAGCGTAAAACTATTTTGCTGTTATCAATGTATTATCTCTGAATGAAATTTCTATTTAAAGTAGAACAGAAAATTTTGTTAAATTTCTTCCAAATTGTCAATAGTAAAATGCCACAGGAGTCTAATAGCAGAAGTAAATAATACGGCAAGGGGTTATAATATTTTACGCATTATTTTTATTGTACATTAAAACCTTACCGTTTTCATAACGTCTTCGTCAATAGGATCGCCAGGCTCGGGATCAGCCCAGTCGACTACAATTTCGTGGTTCCATAACATAACTTTTCCTGGGATTAATTTCCGTCTAGCCATCGCGGCGGCCCTGTGATCCTTAAATTCGACGAAAATGAAGCCGCGATTTTGTGTCCTATCATGAGCGCTCGGATACAAATAAATGTCGGTGATGCCCTCGAGAATTTTGTTCAGTTCTTGGGAAAATTCCGCTTTACACTTGTTCTTAGGCACACCGCCGAAAAACAGACGGCAATTATCAACCGATTTAACGACACCGATACGATGACCCGGTCTGATTTCATAACCGTCGAGTTTCGCGCAGGCGTTTCTCGCAGTTTTCGAATCTTCGAACAATGCGAAAGCGTAACCACGAGTGGACCCGGAAAAATCAAGCATCAATCGCAGTTCGCACAAACGACCAAGCTTCTCGAGAACAGGCATTAATTCGTCTTCGTAACAATCACGAGGCAAACGTCCGAGAAAAATCTCGGCACCTTTCACACGTTGCTTTTCACCGTGAACAATTTCCGGTGCGGTCAATCGACGTTGTCCGTTTTCTTGTACCAATTCGTATTTCGTTCTTTGCAGCATTTCCAACAACCTTATGGTCAACTGACATTCCGCCGAGGTTCCGTTTTCGAATCGGGTTGGTAACGTATTTATAATATCCATTGCGAAATGAGCGACTTAATCGTCACGAAATCGGTAAACGAACTGCCAAGGACCAACCGATCCAGTCTCTTCCTTCACCCCCATTCCTCTTCCGACCCCTACCCCATGTAAACCCGAACAGAATTCCTCGAAATGTACGAAGCCTACACCTTCTATGGACCAATCACAGTAACCGAAGTGTCACTCTTAATGCTGTCCAAACGGTTTCAGTTAAAAAGAGATAATAGATTCTTCCAGTCTTTTGCGTGAATGTAAAATAAGCATCGAAAGGGGCACGTGCGACCCGTATTAGGTTTCATATTGTCTCGAAGGAGTTTAAACGCTGCAAACCAACACGAGTAAATTATATGGGTGAAAAATTTTTAGATGAGCGATTGAACAACCGACTCTTAATAAACAATTAAGAAAATTTGAAAACGTTTTTTTTTGGAACGAATGGATCTAGGATTGAAAAATTTCCCACTATGTATTATTTATATCACGTAGAAGCATTGGTTATCATTCACTAATTTTACTATAATCAAAAGATTATAATGTTCGTCATAAAAAACATTTAAGAATATCATTTACCCAATTTTGCTGTATCACATTGAATTAAAAATATTAGACAATTTAAATGGCTATGGTTACCTATCCTCTCTATGCTATATCATTACAATATTCGGTAGAGAGGGAAATTTAACCAATAGTTAATTCTTATTTTTTATATAAATTTTTCGAATCGAATTGAATTCTATTCATAATACTTTGAAGAATGCTGTTCAGATGACAATAATCATATGATTAATTATCGACTGTCAATAAGTTCTGTTAATAAGAATACCGACGGGAGGTAGGATAGTGTTACGTTTTGCGTTTCAAAGAGAGAAAGTTTACAAAAACTATTTTTCCGTTTGTGCCAAAATGATATTTACGAGCTTTTGATCCATGTGGAGCGTACGTCTAACATCTAAACCGAGATCTGAATCATTCAAATGTAGAAATAGAAATGTTCTCCTTACCTACGTTGCGTACCCAGTCACTCGTGTAAACGAGGGTGCGTGTAGCGGGCACTGTCTGCATCATGACAGCAACCGACTCGGTTGGCTGCTGGTCGGTCTCGGTCTTCCAGGCGTCAAGATTGTAAGACTGCTGTGGCTTCTCGTTATCGAAATGCATACATACTTAAATACGCATTTTAAGTCTGTGGCATTTATCTTGACTGTAATTTGCACTATCTCAAGTTTATGGTCTGTGGTCTGGATTTCCAAGTCGGCATGACTACTTACTTATTTAACTTGGGCCTTGAAAGTCCCTAAGGAGTCTGATCTATTTTTATACTTTATCTGTGGTTCTATCTGCTATATGTAAAAGATATAACCTATTCCATTGTTGACAGTTTAATTGTCAACATGATGCTACTAATTGACAGAATTATTAATTCATAAATAATGTAGGTTTCACAAATTATTTATGTCAGAGAATTGTAAAAGTATGATGAACATAATTTTTAGTATGAGAACAGTTTCATAATTTGCGTCTGACAGATGACAGATAACCAACCTACAATTAGAGTGTAGTTTTATCATAGAAAAGTTACAGAATAGAATAAACGTATGGGAGTGGATACTACCAGAAATCTGTAGCATCGACATATTACTGCTTTTAGCGACCTCTATAACATGAGAAATATATTCAATCCAATTCGAACCCGATTAGAAAAATTTATATAGTATTGTCAAATATTTAAATTTAGTAAATACATGTATGTGTTCTTGTCAAGTTATATGATTATATATAAAATGAACTATATGTACAGAAATACATATTCTGTTAATAAATCTAAAATTTGTAGTTGTCGGTAACGTCAAACCTAGTACCAAAATGATACACAAACTTAAAGTGCTGCAATCGACAGCGATAAAAAAATATAGCGCATGTCCAGTCTATTTTCTAAGTCATCTGTGATTTCATGTTATTAATATTGCCTCAAGTACACATACATGTTTGTAATTTAGTATAAAATGAAACTGTAATTAAGATGTCACCAAAAGTTCTATTTTCCTTCTAAAATATGTGTCATGACAAAATCGATTAAATTTTGTGATATATTGTATTTGTCATATTTGTGTCCATATATAGCAGAAAAAAATGTTAAACAGATTTAAATCAGTGTTGATGAATGCTGTGGGTGCAAGTGAACTTGGTTTACAATACCCTAACGATTCAGATAATGATGCGATAACAGATTATATGAATTCAAACTTTACTACGGAAGTAGAAAATAAACCATATAGTCGTCCAAATTTTTTAGGGTTAACTGCAGAAGAAACTCAAGTATGTTATTTAAACATATTATAATAATTGTTATAGTGATATGTCCTTGATAATGACTATGTGAACTATTTACATCCAAGGTTAGCGCTGATCATAGGGTAAGACCAATCATAGTTCCAAGAGATCTGAGTCGATTACCATGGTGTGCTGGTTACGCAGAATGTATAAATGCTGGAAAAAGTACTTGGAATGAAGATCAAGCCTCCGCAACTAGAGGAGACCTGAAATTATCTGATGTTAATGTTGCTTTGCCTTATATTATGTTTTCTATGTTTGATGGACATGCTGGATATCAAGTTGCTTTAACAGCAAGATTACAATTACATAAAATAATTCTTGTAAGAATTATGAAGAGTTACTTATGAATCTCTCTCTATCTCTCTCTCTCTATATATATATATTTTGTTTTTATAGGAAATATTTTTTAATGTGTATTCTTTAGGAAAGGTTAATGGCAATACCTGGCAATATGTTACTAAATGAAGATGAAGATGAACTTATAAAAGGAAGAGATTTAGTTATTGGTGCTATTGAATTGGCATATAGACAGATGGATCAAATGGTAGAAGCCCAGGCTCAAAATGGGGGTGGTGGTTGCACAGCAATCACTATTTTATTTCTCAATGGTAGACTGTATGCTGCGGGTGCTGGTGATTCTAGGTAATGATCCTAGTTATTAACTTTGTTAGGTTTCTTTTGAATATATAATGTAGATACTAAAATTTTTAATATTTTTAATGAATGTCTAATAAACAGAGCTGTACTTGTGATGGAAGAAATTCATTGTGCATTGACAAGAGATCATACTCCTGATTCAGAATCAAATCGTGTTAGAGCACTTGGCCTTTTAAGAAGTAATGAATTATTGAAAAGTCATTTCACACCGTTAGAGTTCCGAAAACGACCATTACAGAAAGAATTAGGTTCCATGGTTTTGTACAGGGAACCATATATGACAGGTTGGGCATACAAAGTATTAACTCATTCTGATTTGAAACTACCTCTTATTTCAGGACATGGAAAAAGGGTAATTATATGTTATCAATGTTTACTTATTTGTTAATATTGTTTCATGTAGGAATGTAATATTGAGTTCTTGTTTAGAGTCGAGTGATGGGCACTATAGGTGTGACTCGAGGGTTTGGAGATCATGGCTTAAAAGCAGCCAATACAGGAGTTAGTATAAAACCATTCCTATCATCACAACCGGAGGTACATTCCATAAGTTTGGATAACTACAATCTCACAGAACGTGACTGCGTTGTTGTAGCCACAGATGGGCTTTGGGATGTTGTATCAGATAAGGCAGCAGCAAACATACTCAGGAAGACTCTAGCTCCTGATACTCCATCACTAGAATATAGGTATTCTGTCTTAAAAGATAAAATCTTTACTTCAAAAATGACGATTACAAAAATATTTGTATTGCAGGCTTACGATGGGTGCTCAAGAATTAGTACAAGCAGCAAGAGGTAGACTAATTGGTCGAGTTTGGGTAGGCAAATCAGAAAATCCTGAAGAAACTGATGAAAAGTTTTTACCAATGGCATCAGTTGACGATATCAGTGTTTTAGTAGTACCTTTGTACCCATATTCGTGTGAACATAAGCAATGGTTAAAAACTACATATCAGTTAATAAGTCCACATAGTACATGACCAAATTGATGAAAACTGATTAATTTGTATTTTAGTAGGAACGTTACAATTGAGAAAGAGTATTCACTTTGTAGTGTAGTAATCAATCACAAAAACGTAATTGCTTTTACATTGCTTTTAAAAAGAAATATTTATATGTACACTACAGATTTAAACTTTCCAGCAGTTTTTCTTTTGGCGTGATAATTTATTATATACTGCCACCTTTTTAAAATTATAATTAGAAGAATGTCATAATTATTTAATGGAACATTCCAGTTTTAGAATGTTGAATACAGTGTAACTTAATTTTAAGTGTTATGCAGCATCCAAAGTAGAAGTAAAGTGTATTTAATTTTATAAGGCGTATGCAGCATTTTACGTGCATCACGAATAAATGAAAGCGGTGAATATGACTTGATGATGAAAAAATTAAAATAATAAAAAAAATTTGTACGAAAATAATTTTATCATAAGTATGTAGTGCAGTGAATAATTTGTTTGTTAATCTTGTATTTATTTTTATTTTTGAATACTTACTATGAACTAGTATATATAAAGTATCTTTAAGTGGTTGATCCACATAAGACCAGAAACTAAAAATTGTACATAAAAGATGCATTGCTTTTTTGGCAATGTTAGTAGAAATGTAAGTTTTGTCTCGTCTTTATATATTTTATTTTTATTTTGATGTAAACATTATAATTGATAAATAAAATAAACGTATATTGTATTCATTTATATAACTTTGATTTGATTTGAAATGACTAATTTCGTTCCTACTAATAAGACTTAATACCACACACCTTTTTCTGCATAAAAAATTAATATGACAAATAAAGCAACGGTCAGGTTTTAGTTATCATAAATTTTACATATAGTTCTATATCTATAAAATATTTTTGTAAACATATTTCTGGAAATTTTCTGGAAGGAACGATTTTAAAATCCTCCTTCCTATATTATAGCATGTCCGATTGGAAATCATTTTATTCATCCCTTGTTTGAAATGAAATGAAATGTGTGTATGAATACCTACTTAATTCAGTATTTAAACATCTATAAGTCATAACATTGAATATTAAAATTTACACTACTTACAATGAGAATTTCTACAGTAAAGTAAGGAACACTCGCATTTTAGGAAAACAGTTACATAAATTCTTTAAATACTTAATGTGACAGTTTAATGTTAGCACCATAACAAACTCTTCCAAACAATGACATTTCGTAAGTTTAATAAAGTATAATTTAATCTTAAGATAACTGTCATTTTCTGAAGAATCATTACATCCAAATTTCAAAGATTTGAGATGCTATCAATACATCATGTTAAGAATAATAAACGAATTATTTTGAATATCAATTGAATCTAAGAAACGATGACTTACCAAGAATGTTTATAAAAGCACTGGATTAAAGTAAAACGAATCAAAGGTGAAAAACGGATTATCGTAGGAATATGCAATTCTTCGATTGTCAACTTTGCAAACTAAAACCCTTATGACAATACCCTGTTGATCTAGACATTGTTCAATTTAAAAAATTCAGCGTTGCTTGGGACCATCATTCAAAGTCGGCCCCCACATAATAGATTATTCGCGGTTGAAAGCTACGTTATCATCGAACTCGGATTATACATTCATTGCGAAATCAAAAACCTTTGTTTTTCTAATTGAAACAAATGAAAACATTCTATTTTTAGTTTCATGCAACGCTTGACGCAAGGACGATACGGATTATCTATTTTAACAAACGAAAACTGATGAGACTTCACGATTTGACTGACATAATTCGTGCACGTGTTTAATATAAAAAAAACCGGCACGCGATACTTTCTTTCTTAACGGATATCCCACGGGAGATACGTTTTACTTGGTGGGAAGGTATAGCAGGCTATCTGTCACGGTCATCATCGATGGCAACTTTGAGGATACCAAGGGA